ACCGCCTCATGGTTAGCGACAAATCTAAGAAAAACTAGAAAGAAATATGAAACCATGGAGAAAATGTTTGGGGGAGAGAGAGCACATACAGGAGGAAAGAAAGAAAGAAGAGAAAGAAAAAGTGGGAGTTTTCAAACTACCTAAAAGAAAGTTGGGTAAATTATACCCTTAGTGCCTGAACTTTTAATAATTCCTGACTAAGCACAGAAAATTAAAAAACTTTCTAATTAAACCCAGGATTTGGGATGTGACAACTCCCCTTAAGAAAATTTCGGCCTCGAAATTTTACTTGACAGAAAAAATGAGGAAACTAATCCTCTATAGATTTCTGAGCCTTTTTGATGGCCTCTAAAAGATTACAGTTACTCCAAAGTACCTTAATCATGAGTATTTGTTAGTTTCTTATAATTTGATCCTCATAGGTAACAATACAAATATGCTCATTCTCGTAACTCATATCAGATCTCAGCTGAACATTTTCAACAGAAATAAAATTAGACGGATCAGGCTGGTAACCATTAACCATGAACATGCTCAATCTCTAGTAGTAACTCATGATATTATGCAATTAGTCCTACTCATCATAGAACTCGACAAAGAGTAAACCTCAATCAACGGTAAAAGATCCCTCCGATCATCTCAGAACCCTATAATATGACATTTCAACTTGTCTTTCAGAATCTGAATAATTTCCCAAATAGACCATCAAACAACGGATAATAGGTTGTACCAAAGTTTTAATCATGTAACAGAGCCTCAGAAAGAGTTTTTTTTTTTTAAACTGTGACACAAATCCCATATCTCAATCAATCATTATAGATAAGGGAAACTCACCAAAGTGAACAATCTCAAAAGTAAGCAACCCAATCAGTTATCAGGAATGTAACCAGTTTGAACCATAATAAAGTAAACAGACTAGTTGAGATGATCAATAAAGCACATACTGAATCTTAATTTGATAAAGTCAAAGGCAATCTACTGAAAAAGTTTACAGTTACTCATTCACAAATCCATTTTGAAGTATGCGTGGGTTGAAATAAACTAGGAAGAAATAGAATTCTACTTTCAGAGTAATACCCGAAATTGACTCTCTCCCCTCGAGATATTCTGAATCAAAGTAATATAGATGTTATATCCTTTCGCTTTTCATAATATAAACAATACAAAGGAAATTCTTATATTCGATCCCATTCAGAATACTTTAAAACTTATACTCATGTTTTAGAATAATGAATATCAAATGCAGAGTTAATAATTCCTATTGAAGAGGAATGATAGTGTTGAAACACATTACCCTAGTTAAATTGAATTAGAACGATAAAATTATCATATTTATTAACCAAAGAAAGAAACTATTAGTAGATATCAAAATTAATCTACAAAAGATTTGAAGGAATTCAAAATAATTCATACCAAAATAATATTCCATTTTGGAATGTAAAACTTTACACAAATCATTGGCATCTCATGCATTTTTGATATAATATTGGTCAAAAATCATTTTTTTATAGAAAACCACGATGTGACAGAATAAGAACTCGAACAGGTTAGCGTTATTAGAAGAATCAATTTATATTCTCATATTATCGCACAGAACCAGAATTTTATCAAACCCCACAATCGAGATGAACTTGGAAGAACATTTAGTTATAAGGCATATAAAATTCGTACGAGAAAATCGAGAATAAATTCATAATTACTAATGCAGTTTAGCCGATGAGGACTGAAGAGTGTTAAAATAAAATCAAGAACATATATCTCTACCTTTTCTACTTTAGGAGTTGGCTCAACCGTTTTTGTTCAAATATATGTTAACTCCCCCTAACAGTGAATGACAATTGTTATTTGACTTAATTGCAAGAGTTCAGACATTAGACCTGAAATAGCAAATTAAGGTGTCTAAACGACAACAGACATCCAAATCAGGCTCACGATTATATATTAAATATTAAACTATCATTACATAAAGGTAGTAACTTTCCAGAATGGCATCAGAGTCTCGATAATTTCATAAAATACTTGAAAATCTTGTGGCATGGTTTTTCAAAAATCATTTTTCATACTTTTCTAAAAATCCTTTTGCAAATTTACTTTAAACAAATTTTTAGAATTATAACAGGTTGCACAGTCTGAGAATTGAAACATGTACTCTGATACCACTAAATGTAACCCCCTAGACCTAGCCTAGGAGTTACAACTAAATCGGTGACCACGTTGATCGCATAAACGATCCACGAACAAAAATTATTAATAAGTCATTTTTGAAAACATTTACTGAATACAAAATCAGAAATAAACTCATGTCACATCTTAAGAAGGTTAAGAAATAAATATTAAACCACATACAATATATAATCGAGATCACACCTCCGATAGCCAAACCATTCCTATAACTGGTTAATCTAAAAAAAGAAAAACAGAAACAGAGTGAGCTACAAAGCTCAGTGTGTCCTATAAATTACATCAGGTAATATCAAGCCGCAGAACATTCAAACATAAAATAATAATCAAAATAATAATCGAACAATATTAAAATTCAAATATTTTACCAGCAAAATGTCCCAACATAAATTCACAATTTTACCTTTCGTTTCGAATCAACAAAATATGAACATTACTTACAAGGAGATATCCAAAACTGAATACAAAAAAATCAGAATGGGGATTTAGCCCTCCGTAAAGGATCCCAACAGAAATAGAACGAGGAATGAGGTCCCGTGGAGAATCAGGACAGAGAATAAATCCCATGCAGAATTAGGGGAATAAATCCCATGCATATATCAGAAATGCATCAACATGCAAATTAATGGTGATGTCACAGTATTCAGAAGTCATATATGTCACGTAAATATAAATATATACATATAATCAGTTCACGAACATGTTTATAGATAGCAACATATAACATAACATGTTAAATATATTGAACATGTCAGAGACAGACCTATAAGAGATAATCAATATCGGCTAGGCCTTTCGTTTCCCACAATCAATAGTACTAGGTCCTATATATTGGGAATCTAAAACAATACTCTTCCATAAACACAGATGCCAATAATCTAAACAAAAATATACTATAAAATCATTAATCTAATACTTATGTGTATTTTGGGATGAGCGAGCAGACTCGACTGAATAGAATGGTAGTGATCAGGGTCTACTGGTGAGCGATCTGGAGACACGAGGGTACATTCAGAAAATTAGACCCAAAAGTGAGTTCAAAACCTCACAATTTACTTAACATAATTAGGACTAAAACAAAAAAAAATGATACAAAATAGGGCTTTTGGGTCAGAATTTGGCTAAACCGACTGCGAAAACGAACTCAAGATGTCGAAAAATATAAAGAGAGAGGTATTAAAAAAAAGTCAACGGGTCATAGCCGATGGTCAAAGTCAATGGTCAACAGTCAAAATCAATGGTTAACGGGTCGAGTCGGTCAACGGGTCAACCGATCCGTTCTGTCCAACAATTAACCGGTTTAGCAAGTTTGAACGGCAAAAATTTTCCCCACACGCGTACGACGGTGCATGGGGCGCGTGAGACACCATCCAACGGTGATTTTTGCAACAAAAATACCAAAAAATTATTTTAACCCACAGAGAATAACTTACCGAGGTTGGTTTGCGAAAAAAGGACGTCGAAAATTGGGTTTTATTAAAAACTCGAAACTTCCTCTTCTCCGATAAAGCTAACGCTGATGCCAAACGGAAAATGGAGACCACTGGATGAACGGAAATGACACGATGAACAATGGGATACCAGAGGTGTCGCACACCTACTCACGATTAGCGACGAATCGAAGAAAAACTAAAAAGAAATATGAAACCATGGAGAAACTGTTTGGGGGGAGAGAGAGCACTTACAGTAGGAATGAAAGAAAGAATAGAAAGAAAAAGTGGGAGTTTTCAAACTACCGAAAAGAAAATTGGGTAAAGTACACCCTTGAGGCCTAAACTTTTAATAATTCCTGATTAAGCACAGAAAATTTAAAAACTTTCTAATTTAACCCAGGATTCGGGATGTGACAGTGAAAAAATAATTTAAAAATGTCACTTTAACTTCTTGGTAATTTTCTAATGATGAGTAACAAAAAAGAAACAAAATATAACGTTAACTATGATTTTGAAGAAAAATAATAATTGAATGGCCAAAACAGAAATAAACTAATAAACAAGTGACTAAATATATAATTTATTCTTTTTAATTATTGATAAATTTATAGTTTTAGTCCCTAGCAAGTAGGGGCTTGGGGAGTGCCCTTTTTGCCCTGCTCAGGGACGGGCTTGAATGTGTTGAGGCGCTTGGATGAGGTGGAGTTTATCGACACTCCATTACATATAGCTGCAGAAGAAGGTTGTATGCGTTTTGCAATGGAGATGATCAACATTTGCTAAGCATGCACAGAGAGTATTTGTAAACTCTTATCGTTTTGGTTTATACTTCCATTTATTACTAGGCTATAATTTTTTTATAAATTATTATTTATTTTTTATTAATATGGAGTATTTATAAGTGATAGAGTTTGCTTTCAATTATTTGACAATTAATACTTAGATATTATGCAATTGTTGGTGCTTAAACTCTAGATCTCTAAGATAGCAACATCCATCAATCACTGAGGTCATTTAGTTCGTGCAATATTGTATAATTATTTAAATTCAAATGTTAAAATTTTAATTTATTTTAAATGATTCAAAATGGAGCTAATATGTACAACTAACTTTAAAATGATTACTCAAAAAATTAAAAATGATTTAATTTTGTTGATCGTTTCAATTCTTAAAATCTCTGGAAAATACACCGATTCATTCCATTAAACTTCAAGGAAAGAGCTTGATTTATTGGTCCGATTAAATTCCTCTGTAGGCAGCTTCCTGGAAAATACAGGAAGATTGGTATTTATTGGTCCAATTTCTCAAAAGCAGCTCAAACCAAAGCTCTCTTGTTATCTCTTGTCTCTTTGTCTATCAATCACAGTATCATTCTCTTACGCCTTCATGGCTTCTTCTTCTTCTAGTCAATTGAAGTATCAAGTTTTCTTGAGCTTCAAAGGTGAAGACACGCGCCTTAACTTCACCAGCCATCTCCTCAATGCTCTGAAAGACACCGGCATGAACGTCTTCTTCGATGAAGATAAACTGGAGAAAGGGGAGCAGCTTTCACCGGCACTTTCCCAAGCAATAGCAGCCTCAAATCTCTCAATGTTGATCCTTCTCATGTCCGAAACATTGTTGGAAGTTTTAAGGCATCCTTTGAAGAGCATGAATCGAATAGGCCACTTGAAGAAGTGAATCGATGGAGAGATGCCTTTGTTGAAATCGGCAAATTAAAAGGGTGGCATATACAAGGCGGCAAACTCGATAGGTAACCATATACACTATACATATTTTATCTTCTTATATTCGACACGCCTTTTGACTATTATTTTGTGAAAATGATTTCTCAGATCTGAGGCTGAATACATCAAAGATGTCGTTGAGTTTGTCATAAAAGAATTGAATAGCAAGTCTAAAAGTGTTTCTAAAGAATTAGTTGGAATAGATGATCAGAAAAAAAAGATCTTGCAGCTAATCGAGGAAGAAGATAGCCGAATAATAGGACTTTGGGGAATGGATGGTATTGGCAAGACTACCCTTGCTGAAGCTGTCTATAATGAAATCTCTCAAACGTTTCAACGTCGTTGCTTCATTCAAGATGTTAGAGAGAAAATAGAAAAACAGGGGAAGGAATCTTTACGAAATGAACTTCTTTCCGAACTATTGAACTCGAAAACTTGTGTAGACACCCCCTCCATAAGATCCGTCTTAACCCAACAGAGGCTCAATAATATAAAAGTAATCGTCGTCCTTGATGATGTTAGTGACTCAGAGCAGATAGATCTTATGGGTGTAAAACATTTTGGTGATGGAAGTAAGATTATCATAACATCCACAGATAGGCAAGTACTTACGAATGGAGGAGCTGACAAAATACATAAGGTGAATAAGTTAAACGAGGATGACTCTCTTCAACTCTTTTCTACATTTGCATTTAAGTCGTTGAATCCTGCTCCTGATTTTCGAGATCTATCGAACAAGTTTGTGGAGTACGCCCAAGGCAGTCCACTTGCTCTTAAAGTTTTGGGTTCTAAACTATATACAAAGTCTAGAAAAGAGTGGGAAAGTGAGGTGGACAAGCTCAAGGAATATGCAAAACCAAAGATTTCACAGATTTTGATGAGTAGTTTTGAAGAGTTGGATGAGCAAGAGAAGAATATATTTCTTGACATAGCTTGCGTCTTGAAAGGGGAATCCAAGAAAGAAGTAGAAGCAATTCTAAGTTGCTTGTATGAGGGTGCAATGTGTGGAATAAGCGATTTGCTTGATAAGAGTGTAATTGAAGTGGATTCCAATGGGGTGATTTGTATGCATGATAAGCTTGAAGAGATGGGAAAATACATTGTTCGCCGAGAATCTAGAGATCCTGGAGAGCGCAGTAGGTTATGGAGTCTTAAAGACATGATCCAAGTGCTCAAATATAATAAAGTAAGCATTAGTTGTATCTATATTCCTTTTTTTTACTTATTATACATATAATGACCAATTTTTTAGGGTATAACATGGAATCTACTCAAGTTTTACTGTGTTAGCGAAATACCTAATTCGTTGCTTATAAAATAGAGAACTTATTTGTATTGTCTAAAAATTTCAGTAATAAAAAGATGTCTGATTAGTCTAAGCGTTTCTTGGTATAATTATATTTTGTAATGAGTAATTTTAATGAAATGTTCATATAATTTTGTCTGTAACGAAACTCGTTAAATTGATTCTTTTTATTAGGTGAATAAATCAATTGAAGGAATAAAGCTTTTCGTGAGTCGACTTGAAGACCAGCTGTTACTATATTCTGGTTTTGAGAAGATGCATAATCTTAGATATATCATCCTTCATACATGTCCGTTCTTTGTTAATAGTGTATCTTTTTCTGATGAGCTAAGGTATCTTCATTGGGACTTTTGTCCCTTGAAATCCTTATCATCAAATTTTAATCCAAAGAATCTTGTTGTGTTGAAACTAAGAGAGAGCTTCATAGAACAACTTTGGAAGGAAGATCGTCAGGTATTTCATGTTTTTGTTTTTGTTTTCGATACATCCAAAATAAGTGGATAATACAATTATTTTATACTTTCAATGTACAGGATCTTGTTAATTTAAGGTCAATTGACCTTTCTGGTTGCGACAGACTGAGGAAGATCCCTAATCTATCAGGAGCCATCAACCTTCAAAGCCTTTGCTGCAATGGGTGTGGAAGTTTGGTTGAACTACCTTCCCTCAACCAGTTGGTATCTCTTGAAAGCCTTGACCTCTCTGGTTGCGGCAGACTGAGGAAGATCCCTAATCTATCAGGAGCCATCAAGCTTCAGAGCCTTTGCTGCAATGGGTGTGAAAGTTTGGTTGAACTACCTTCCCTCAACCAGTTGGCATCTCTTGAAAGCCTTGACCTTTCTTATTGCAAGAATTTAAAGAAGATTCCTAATCCATTCGGAGCCATCAACCTTAAATCACTTAAGTGCAATTACTGTATAAGTTTGGTCGAACTACCTTGCCTCAACCATTTGGCATCTCTTAAAGAGCTTGGACTGAAGGGATGTCATAAACTTAAGACGTTTCAGCATCTTGTCGGACTTAGAAAGTTGAGTTTGAGTCACTCGAGGGTGGAAAATGTATCGAGCAATATTTCAAAGTTGGAATCTCTTAACGTTTTGGAACTTGAGGAGTGCGAAAGGCTTAAAACACTCTCAGAGCTTCCACGATATCTGGGGTGCTTGAATGCAAATTATTGCCGCTCATTGAAGAAAGTATCCTTCACCGATCATAATTCCAGTTCATTCTTTTCTTTACATGATGGTGATGACACTCCTCGTGATGAAAAGGTTTCCATGTCATTCCTTAAATGCTTCAACCTGAATAATGATTCAATTAAAAACATTGAGAGAAACGCGGTGCTTCAAATTCAATCCCTAGCACAGAGATGGGCAAGGAGACAAGGGAGGGGTTCTTTTGGAAATCAATTTTTTTGTTGTTTCCCAGGAAATGAAGTTCCAGCAAATGAGTTTGAGCATCGAAGCGTGAATCCTTGGTTAAATTTAAAGATAGCCCCAAATGGGTGTAGTGGGAGCAGATTCTTGGCATTTGCTTTATGCTTTTTGGCTCATTCCCTGATTGAAGACGCAGATGTTGGATTTATATGTAAATACCAACTGACAGCTGCCAGTGGTGAAAAGTTCATGGGAGAGAGTCGCGTTTCTTGGAGATGGGACAGGGGCTACGCAGGTCATGTGTTCATTGTGTTTAATAAGGATATGATTATAAGAGACAATGATTATGAGAAGGCATCATTTGAGTTCTACATCAAAGATCATCTTGGTAGACAATATGAAAGGGTGAAATGGGGTGTTTATGTATTTTATGTGGATGCAGAGAGTTATAGCATTAGTGATGTGATGAGTTGTGATAGAAAAAGAAGATTTAGGTATTGGCGGTGAACAAGGGGATGGAGGGACTGTTCTCTTCTTTTAATCTTTGTTTGTGTATGCAGATGCAACTTTACAATATTGCCATCTAAATGCATCGGTAAATTTCCAAATTGAAAACTACTCTTACTTTGTGATTCTGATTAGGGTCCTTAAGAATTTAATTGCTTCTGATGCCAATAATGCAGAAGTTATCACTATCAAAGTAATTGATAATAGACTAATTATAAATTAAGACTAATGTGAAATTTTATTTATTAAGGTTGTGATCTATAGTAACGACGGATCCAAAAATAATTTTAAAGATGAGAATACATATATATTAACAACATCGTAAAATATTTGTGCATGATAGACACAAATAAAATTCTAAGATGGAATTGACCGATATAATAGATAATTAATCGGAAAAAAAAAATTTGAATTTCAAGATGGATAACAAGACGTGTATCTGTCACTGTCCTTAAAATACATATGATGTATCTTTGATGATCAGTTTATGTATGAATTCAAGCACTCTTTCATATTTAATCTTTTGTTCTTATAATATGACATGATGTTTTATATGACAACCTTCGAACCCTAAATCAAATTAATTTTATATGTGATGTGATGAGATGGGATAAATCCAACCAGAATTCTGATTCTCAAGAAGTTGCTAATATTGAGGTGGCTCATGACGGTTCTGCTACTGAAATAAGAACTGGGGATGAAAGAAGATTTGGCAATGGTGGTGAAGAAGGTGATGGAGGGCCTAAAACATTGAAATAGTTTCACTTCTTTTAATCTTTGGGTATGCAACTTCTCATTCCAAATGCGTAGGTAAGCTGTTTTCATTTGTATTTAATTGCTTATGATAGTTGTACATTTAAAAGGGAGATCTGTTAAAAGAGTTAAGGGTTGAATTTCTTTCAATTCAATTGCTTATTATGTTTTCTCATTCTTTTGTAGGTGGAGGCTATTTTGAAGGGTATCATTTGTCGGATTACCTGTTATATGGCATTTATCACATGGTATCATTCACCAACAATCCTGACATTGTTGTCTGTGTCATGAATCTCGTCTAGGTTATTTTTCCTCTCTTCATACGATGTCGACGTCTCCTTTGCCAGTTCAGTTTGTCTTCTTTTTCTTTCGCTGCTGCTGCTGCCGCTGCATGTGATTCGGAGATTGCCTCCTCTGCTGCCACTGCATATGATTTGTCATTGATCCAAAATTACTGCATGTATCCGACCTCAAATTTGACTCCATGACAACGGAGCTCATCGTCGACTATCATGTCGTTCCATTTGTTGCTGTTGCTTGTACCACAGTTGTTTGTACAAAAGTACATGTGTGCCAATTCAGGGAAATAAGAAAATATTTCTTGACATAGCATTCTTCTTTAAAGGGGAACTCGAGGAAGATGTAGAAGAAAGAAGTTGCTTTTATAAGGGTGTAGTGAGTGGAATAAGCAACTTGATCGACAAAACTCTACTTCATATGGATTCTAATAGGCAGATTTCTATGTATGAAGAGATGGGCAAGGATCTTGTTCGCCAAAAGGAAGATTTGTGTAAGAGTTACGGATTGAATTTCTTTCTATTTGATTGCTTATTATGTTTTCTCATAATGTTGTATGTGGAGGTTATTTTCAAGGGCATCATTTGACAGATTCCATTGTCGTGCAAGATTGATGGGGTTTTGTTTATCCCACACACTAGAATAACAACTTTGAAGTCGGGAGTCGTTTTCTTTATGTATAGAGCATTTGGAGCTGATGTTTTCTTTTCTTGGTTTTGGATTACCATAACAGTTTAAGGCTATTTTGGAGGGCATCATTTGACAGATTACATATGTTGTGGAATTCGGGTTAATTTCCACCAATAACAGATTCACCTTTCAACTATTATCTAGGTGACTAGTGTGAAAACGATTGTACTAAAAATCACCCCAAGGTAGATTCCCAGGAAAGAGGAGGGGTCACGATGGTCCCTCTTAAAACCCACTTTCCTTAGACAGAACTACCAAGACAAGTAATTTTAATAGGACAATAATTAATAACTATACCCGACAATAGCTATTAAATAGACATAAAGAGAACACCAACATTTAACGAGGTTAGGCCAAAATTATGCCTACCTCCTCGAACACTACTAAAATAATATTTCACTAATAGAGGAAATATTACAAAGAGAAAGAAAGAATACAAATAGCCTTTAATATAGAAGAAGGCTTATATTTGAGGGATGCTCAACTAAGGAGGAGGAGGGCTCTATTTATAACAAAAGAATTTCCCCTCCTCCTTATACAAAACCAATGTGAGATATTTGCCAAAAACCAACAAATCTCCACCTTGGCAAATTCCACACACGTCTCTAAAACAATCCAATCTTCAGTAGTGTTTGCAAATTCATCTTTCAATTTGTAATAATATTGACCAAGTCTAAACAATGTTTAAACTTGACCGCAGTTACCACTTTTGTCAACATATCAGCAGGATTCTTAGTGGTCTGAATCTTCTGGATTATGACTCCACCTTCTTCTAGAATCTCTCGAACAAAGTGATATCGAACATCGATGTGCTTCGTCCTTGCATGGTAAACCTGGTTCTTTGCTAAATGAATAGCACTCTGACTGTCATAATGTACTTTGATGTGCTTCTGTTCCATTCCCAATTCACCAAGCAACCCTTGAAGCCAAATTGCCTCCTTCACAGCCTTTGTAACTGCCATATACTCTGCCTCTGTAGTAGACAAAGCCACTGTTGACTGTAAGGTGGACTTCCAACTGACTGGTGCCTTTGCAAAAGTAAACACATAACCAGTAGTTGATCGACTCTTGTCCAAATCACCTGCATAGTCTGAATCACAATACCCAACTACACACTGACCATCTTGTTTGTCCTGCTGAAAGACCAAACCAACATCTACAGTGTTCAGAATATACCACAGAATCCATTTCACAGCTTGCCAATGCTCCTTTCCAGGATCATGCATATACCTGCTCACAACCCCAACTGCCTGTGAAATATCGGGTCTCGTACACACTATTGCATACATCAAGCTACCAACAACACTTGCATATGGAACCTTTGACATGTATTCCCGTTCTGCATCATCCTTAGGTGGCATGGATGCACCGAGCTTGAAATGAGGAGCAAGATGTGTACTAACTGGTTTGACTTCTCATTCATGCCAAAACGTTTTAGTACCGTCCTCAGATATTCTTTCCGAGACAAACAAAGCCTCCCCAATTTCTTATCCCTTGATATCTCCATGCCTAGAATCTTCTTTGCTTCACCAAGATCCTTCATCTCAAACTCCCTGTTTAATTGAGTCTATAGTTTTGCAATTTCTATCTGACTCCTGGAAGCTATCAGCATATCATCAACATAAAGAAGAAGATATATATAGGATCCGTCTTGTATCTTGCGTAAATACACACAATGATCATATTTGCTTCTTGTGTACTTTTGCCCTATCATAAACTTGTCAAATCGCTTGTACCACTGCCTTGGAGATTTCTTCAATCCGTATAGCGATTTTTCTAATTTGCACACCATCTCTTCTTTTTCAGCAACTTTGAATCCATCTGGCTGAGTCATGTAGATTTCCTCATCCAAGTCTCCATGTAAAAATGCAGTTTTTACATCCATCTGAACTAGTTCCAAATCCAACTGTGCTACCAAAGCCAACAAAATTCTGATGGAGGAATGTTTTACAACTGGAGAAAATACTTCATTATAATCAACTCCCTCCATTTGAGCGTAGCCTTTAGCCACCAATCTTGCTTTGTAGCGGATGTTATTCTTGTCAGGAAATCCATCTTTCTTTGCATATACCCACTTGCACCCTATTGCCTTCTTTCCCTTCGGAAGACTAGCTAGTTTCCACGTCTGATTCTTTTGAAGGGATTTCATTTCTTCATTCATGGCGATCCTCCACTTTTTATGTTCTGAACTTTGGACTGCTTCATTAAAAGTGGCAGGAACGTCATCGATTGCAATTGGTGATGCAAAAGAGACATTATCAGCATAACGAGCAGGTTGTCTAATGGTTTTCTTTCCCTTTCTGAGTGCAATTGATTCATGTTGCTGTGGAGGTTCTTGGGTCTGAACCTCTTCTTCATCCGACTCTTCTTCTACCATAGGAGAGTCAACATCAGTTTCTTTACTGGCTGGGTCAATTCTGCTTCCTTCAAACTCCACCTGTTTGGGAGTTCCATCTGTCTGCTCCAATTTTTCTAAAGTCACCTTTCTCAACATGATAGATTCATCAAAGGTAATATCCATGCTGAAGATTATTTTCTTTGTTTCTGGACACCAAAGACGATAGCCTTTCACACCATAGGTGATCCCCATAAAGATCGCCTTCTTTGCTCTTGGATCCAGCTTTGACTCCTTAACATGATAGTATGCAGTGGAACCAAACACATGTAAGGAATCATAATCTGTAGCAGGTACTCCAAACCATTTCTCTAATGGTGTTTTACCACCAATAGCAGTCGATGGTAAGCGGTTGACAAGGTGACAAGCATAGACCAAAGCCTCAGCCCAAAATTCTTTGCCTAACCCAGCATTAGACAACATACACCGAACCTTCTCCACTAATGTTCGGTTCATACGCTCTGCCACCCCATTCTGTTGTGGTGTACTTCTGACAGTGAAGTGCCTGACAATACCTTCTTCTTCACAGACTTTCAGAAATGGATCATTTTTGTACTCTCCACCATTGTCTGTACGGAGACGTTTGATTTTTCTACCTGTTTGAGTCTCCACCATCTTTTTCCATTTAAGGAAAAATCCTAGCACCTCATCCTTTGTCTTCATTGTATACACCCAAACTCTCCGGGAAAAATCATCAACAAAGGTGACATAATAGTGTGTTCCTCCCAATGAAGTTGTCTTGGAAGGCCCCCATACATCTGAATGAACATAATCCAAAATACCTTTAGTATCATGGATTGTTGTTCCAAATTTCACCATCGTTTTCTTCCCTTTGATGCAATGCTCACAAAAAGCTAATTTGCAAGCCCGAGCACCCTTCAATAATCCTTGATCTATCAGTAATTTCAAGGATTTTTCACCAGCATGCCCCAAACGCATATGCCCCAAGCGCATATGTCATAACCTGGTTGCTTCTGACTCCTGTTCATCAGTAGAAGCTGCCACTGCTGCTGTCCCAACAATTATACTACCCAGAAAGTAATACACATTGTTTTTTTTCCGGATTCCCTTCATTATCACCAGTGCACCAGAGATAATCCTCATAATCCCATCTTTTGCCCTCACTTCTAAACCTTTTGACTCTAAGGTTCCCACAGAGATGAGATTTCTCATTAAATATGGTACATAATGGACACCTGTTAAGGTTCTGATTGATCCATCCTGATTCCTCAAGCGAATTGAACCAATCCCAAGTGTTTCAAGAGGGGAATTATTTACTGTGTAGACAATTCCACCTTTTAGTTCTTTAAAATCAAAGAACCATTCTCTATTGGGGGTCATATGGTGGCTACAAGCTGAATCTAACAGCCATGAACTGGAACAGCTGGTTGATGGCGTAGCAGCGAATGTGAAATCTGAATCTGCATCATCATACTCGACCACATTTGATTCTAAGACAGCCTTTCCCCTTTCAGGTTTGCCTTTGTTCTTTAGCCTGGGACATTCTTTCTTCCAGTGCCCTTTTTCTCGACAAAAGGCACATTCATCTTTGCTCAATCTGGACTTTGACTTCGATCTCCCTCTCCTTCCTTTATTTTGACTCATCGAACGGCCTCTGACAACAAGAGCTTCTGCTTCGACACTTATGTTTTCTTGTTTGTCTTTCTTTCTCAATTCATAACTATACAAGGCACCTGTTACTTCACTGAGAGACACATCAACTTTCCCATGAAGTAGAGTAGTTTCAAGATACTCAAACTCATCAGGAAGTGATCCCATCAACATCAGAGCTAGATCTTCGTCTTTAAAAGTCACGTCCATATTCATCAGATCAATCACCAGCTGATTAAAGCTAGTAATGTGATCATTCATAGTGGTACCTGGTACATAGTTGAAGCGGAACAATCTATTTTTTCTTGTAGAGCTTGTTCTGACCGCTTTTCTTTAAAAATTTCTCCTCCAGTGCCTTCCATAATTTAGTTGCAGAAGTTTCCTTAGAAAATGCATACTTCTGCTCTCTAGAAAGACATGATCGAATAGTACCACATGCCAATCTATTGATCATCTTCCATTCTTTCTCCTCAACATCATTTGGTTTCTCTCCTTCAATAGCAATGTCTAGACCCTGCTGAAATAGGGCATCTAGAACCTCACTTTGCCACATGCCGAAATGACCGGTGCCATCAAAAATCTCCACTGCAAATCTAACATTTGTCACAGCTGTTGACGACGTTGTGGATGTTTTTGTTGCGTCTGCCATTTCTGCTACAAATTCTATTTAATAGCTGTCAATGCGGAATGCCAATTATCCCAAGGAAATTTTTTCTGATGTGAAGATTAGCCTAAGCCACAACCACAGAACATACTAAAATAAACCAAGAGCTCTGATACCAATTGTTGTGGAATTCGGGTTAATTTCCACCAATAACAGATTCACCTTTCAACTATTATCTAGGTGACTAATGTGAAAACGATTGTACTAAAAAATCACCCCAAGGTAGATTCCCAGGAAAGAGGAGGGGTCACGATGGTCCCTCTTAAAACCCACTTTCCTTAGACAGAACTACCAGGACAAGTAATTTTAATAGGACAATAATTAACAACTATACCCGACAATAGCTATTAAATAAACATAAAGAGAACACCAACATTTAACGAGGTTAGGCCAAAATTATGCCTACCTCCTCGAATACTACTAAAATAATATTTCACTAATAGAGGAAATATTACAAAGAGAAAGAAAGAATACAAATAGCCTTTAATATAGAAGAAGGCTTATATTTGAGGGATGCTCAACTAAGAAGGAGGAGGGCTCTATTTATAACAAAAGAATTTCCCCTCCTCCTTATACAAAACCAATGTGGGATATTTGCCAAAAACCAACAATATAGCCATGCTAATAACAGCTATGAAGTCGAGAGTTGTTTTGTATATATAGAGAGAGAGCATTTGGGGTTGATGTTTTCTTTTCCGTTTGTTAAAGTTGTTGCCTTTCAAGTTGTTTGAGAATGATTGAAAACTCGAGTCGAATTTCATTTCTTTTCCGTTGAGCATGGAATTAATCTTTGGTTCTGCGTTTATGTATTAGTGGATGTATTTGTCTTTGCTTTGTTTACGTGGGTGAAAAGGTTTTGTTGGGTTTAGTTGCATAATTCAGGCTTAAGGTTTATTTCACTTTATCATTAATAAAATATTTAGTTTCATAATTCAGTGTGTAGAATTCTTTTTATACTTTTGGGTAAAGTACAAATGTGGTAATTAAACTTTACCCTCTTCTATTCAATTCCACCGCTGTCTTCACCATTGTCGGGGCTGCTACACCAAACCATTGGAAATACCAAGAAAACTTTTCACTCCATCTGGATCTATCATCAATAGGCCAACTGCCCGACTTCAAATAATCACGCAAATCGTTCTTTAATGCCTCTGAACAATTCAGGAGTTCTTCGACCCGTTTCCGAAGAGATCCTAGAAACACATATTGAACAATGCTACCATTTGAAGAGGTCAACCTTCCAGTCAAGACAGCCTCGTTATAGGACAATGCAAGCTACAAAACACAAGGATATGGCATATGTTAGGGATATGGTTAAGCGACCTATGGGCCAATATGGATAATGTTGAAATATTTCAAGAAAAATGACGGAGTGCTTAAAGAAGTTACGGAAAAGTACCTTTAAACTGGAGAGAGAGAGAATGGGTCGCCAACAACAAGAGGATACCTGCTCTGCCAATATGCCAATGGTGGTGTACAAGGATAAATAGACCTAAAAAGCAGAGAGATATTAACAAAGATTATTACAAAGACATTCACGTATTGAGAAATAGACGATAAGAATACGTAATACGGGAAGAATCATATACACGTCTAGAAAACTTGATCTGAACAACCCACTATCAGTATGCCAACAAGTTGACTTATTTCCCGTTGACATTGTAATGTAGTTGACCAAAATCCTATACAAAAGATGAAGAATTGACAACTAAATCAGACTATTACCAGCAAAGCCTTGACTTTTCTTATTGCACAACCAAAGATTTCCCAGATTTTCATTAGTAGTTTTGATGCGTTGGATGAGTCAGAGAAGAATATATTTCTTGACACAGCATGCCTCTTCAGAGGGGACTTCAAGGAAGAAGTAGAAGAAATTTTAAGTTGCTTGTATAAGGGTGCAATGTGTGGAATAAGCAATTTGCTAGACAAGAGTCTACTTCATATGGATTCTGATGGGCGGATTTCTATGCATGATATGCTTGAAGAGATGGGGAAGGGCATTGTTCACCGAGAATCTAAGAATCCCAGAAAGCGCAAGAGGTTATGGAGTCTCGAAGACATGAACCAAGTGCTCAAATATAATAAAGTAAGCATTAATTGGATCAATATTCCTTTTTTTTTTTTACATATTTGTGTATTTTAATTGAAATTTATATTTGATATATTGTCAATATATAAATTCATTTAGTTATATGTTGTTATCTGTCAAAGTGTTTCAAATATTTTAACTATTATTTCAAAAAATAAAATATTTATTTACTTACTATACATATAAAACATTTTTTATTGTCTAAAAATTTCAGTATTAAAAAGATATGTCTGATCAATCTATGATTTTCTTAGTATAATTATATTATATAATGAGTAATTTTAATGAAATGTTCACAATATTTTTGTAACGAAACTTGATGAATTGTTTCTTATTATGAGGTGAATAAATCAGTTGAAGGAATAAAGCTTTTTCGTTTATCGAATTGAATACCTGCTGTTATTATGTTCAGGTTTTGAGAAGATGCATAATCTTGGATATATCATCGTTCTTGTTTCAACAACTTCCCGTAGACAGTTGATAGCGTATCTTTTTCTGATGAGCTAAGGTATCTTCGTTGGGACTTTTTTCCCTTGAAATCCTTATCAAGTTTTAATCCAAAGAATCTTGTTGTGTTGAAACTAACTGATAGCTGCAAAGAACAACTTTGGAAGGAAGATCACCAGGTATTTCATATTTTTGTTTTTATTTTTGATACGGTCCAAAATAAGTAGATAATGCTATTATTTTATATTTTCAATGTACAGGATCTTCTTAATTTAAGGTCAATTGACCTTTCTAATTGCAATAAACTACGGAATATCCCTGATCTATCAGGAGCCATCAACCTTCAAAGCTTTTACTGCAATGGGTGTGAAAATTTGGTTAAGCTGCCTTGCCTTAACCATTTGGCATCTCTTGAAAAACTTGACCTTTCTGGTTGCAAGAGTCTAAGGAAAATCCCGAGTCTATCAAGAGCCATCAACCTTCAAAGCATTTGCTGCAATGGGTGTGAAAATTTGATTGAACTACCTTGCCTCAACCACTTGGCATCTCTTGAAAAACTTGGCCTTTCTGACTGCAAGAGTCTAATGGAGATCCCTAATCTATCAGGAGCCATCAACCTCCAAAGCCTTTGCTGCAATGGGTGTGAAAATTTGGTTGAAATACCTTCCCTCAACCAATTTGTATCTCTTGAAATCCTTGACCTTTATTGTTGCAGGAATTTAAGTAAGATTCCTAATCCATTTGTAGCCATCAACCTTAAATCACTTAAGTGCAATTACTGTACAAGTTTGGTTGAACTACCTAGCCTCAATCATTTGGCATCTCTCAAAGAGCTTCAATTGAAGGGATGTCATAATTTAAAAAGTTTCCTCATGAGCTCCCAAATAATTTGTCTGACTTAGATTTAAGATACACTGGAATAGAACAAGTGTCGGAATCAATTCAGCATCTTGTCAGACATAGAAAGTTGAGTTTGAGTTACTCTACGGTGAAAAATGTATCGAGCAATATTTCAAAGTTGGAAATGAACTGTTTTGTTGTATCCCAGGAAATGAAGTTTCGGCAAATGAGTTTGAGCATCGAAGCGTGAATTCTCGGATAAATTTAAAGATAGCCCCAAATGGGTGTAGTGGGAGCAGATTCTTGGAGATGGGCGGGACCTACAGATACAAAGTTCATGTGTTCATTGTGTTTAATGAGGATATGATTATAAGAGACAATGATTATGACGAGGCATCATTTTTCTGCATCAAAGGTCAACTTGAATTTCCAAATTGAAAACTACTCTTACTTTGTGATTCTAGTTACCGTAAATTTGTACATTAAGAATTCAATTGCTTATGATAGTTGCATTTCTTTGTAGAGTCGGTGGTGGTTTTTTAATTCATAGAGTCGGTAGTTGACTTGATTCAGCTCCATTGCTTTCGTTGCATGGATTGGGCAGTAAGTAGACATCTCCACCACACTGAAGGAAACAGCCCAGTACTTCTGCAACAGGTTTCGGACAAACCCCCTTAATAACAAACCTTGCTTGAAAACTTGCAATGGTTTTTTTACCCCCAGTTTTCCTTCATTCAACCTCGAATTTCCTTTTTGATTCAAACTTCATAAGGCTTTTTACTGGGATATATATAGTTAGCTGCGGATCAATTGATGCAATACAAAGACAAGTTCCAAGGTGGTAAGCGATCGGTCACATGGAACTACTTGAGAGAATCTATGAATACATACATCGAAGCTGTACAGAAGTACTTCCTAAACTCTGAATTGAATATATTCCTTGTATTTTCTAGTTGTCATAGTTTGTGATGGTTGCGTCTCATCTTCATTCCCCTGTTGAGTCCGTCTTCTTCTTCTGTAGGTATATAATAGATTGCTCTTGATATACTCTACGAGCGAGTATATTAAATTGTGTAGGTATGGTGCCCTCATTATGAGATTATCTTATTACAAACGATTTAAAATTTATTGACGGTTTCAGTAATTTGATATAACATCTTTAAGATCTCTAAATATTCTAAAAAGAGTTTAAGGTGGTATAAAATTAATTGTCTGTCATTGACTTTGTATATTATTGTTAACGAAGCAACTTCTACGTAAAAGGATTTTTGAAATGAAGAAAATGATTGTGGTGGGGGTTTCTAAGGTCCACAAGCATATGGATTAATTTCATGGCTCCACACGCACATGCATGATGGATGTTTCATATCAGAATTATGATCTTTTTGCCTCAACCACACAATTTATACTCCTTCATGGTGTCTTTGTCTCCTTAATTTCAAAGCTTTGGCACAGAAATCAACACCATCGTGTTAGTTAGATTCAAACATTTGATGAGATATTTATTTTCTCTAATAATTAAAAATTGTGTAATGGTAGAATAGAAACAGTTTTTTATTGACCTTAAGTTCTCTCTTCCGATTGTGAATTGATCCCACCTCCCGACATAGATGAAAGTATGAGAAGTGCTGCTCGTATGGGAAATGTTAGTGTTTTGTACTCATTAGTTCATAGAAATGGGAATGTGTTCAGGCATGTTTCTGAGATTTTATTGGGGGCGAATATATAATCGAGACCACATATTTGATACCTAAACCGCTCCTATATCTGGTTAATATGAAAAAGAAAGACAGAAACATAATTATATCCTTTCGGTTTTCATAATATAAACAATACAAATAAATGTGCTATCAAGATCCCATTCGGATTACTTTAAAACTTATACTCATGTTTCAGAATAATGAATATCAAATGCAGAGTTAATAATTCCCAGTGAATAGGAATGATAGTGTTGAAACACCTTACCCTAGTTAAATTGAATTAGAATATCAAGTAATCAGAATGTCCTCTAAATTACATCAAGTAATATCAAGCCGCAGAACATTCAAACATAAAATTGTAATCAAAATAATAATCGAATAATATTAAAATTCAGATATTTTACCAGCAAAATGTCCCAACAGAAATTCACAATTTTACCTTTCATTTCGAATCAACAGAATATGAACTTTACTTACAAGGAGACATCCAAAACTGAATACCAAAAAAAATTAGAATGAAGATTTAACCCTCCGTAAAGGATCCCAATAGAAACAGAATGGGGATTGAGGTCCCATGAAGAATCAAGACGAGGAATAAATCTCATGCAGAATTAGGACGGGGAATAAATCCCATGCAGATATCAGAAATGCATCCACATGCAAATTAATGGTGATGCCACGATATTCAAAAGTCAGATATGTCACGTAAATATAAATATATACATATAATCAGTTCACGAATATTTTATAGATAACAACATATAACATAACATGTTAAATATATTGAACAGGTCAGGGGACAGACCTATAAGAGATAATCAATATCGGCTAGGCCTTAGGTTTCCCACAATCAATAGTACTAGATCCTGCAGATCGGGAAACTAAAACAATACTCTTCCATAAATGTGGATGCCAATAATCTAAACAGAAATATACTATAAAATCATTAATCTAATACTTATGCGTATTTCGGGACGAGCGAGCAGACTCGACTGAATAGAATGATAGTAATCAGGGTCTAGTGGTGAGCGATTTGGTGACACGAGGGTACCTTCAGAAAATTAGACCCAAAAGTAAGTTCAAACTCATAATTTACTTAACATAATTAGGACTTAAAACGAAAAATGATGCAAAATAGGACTTTTGGTCAGAATTTGGCTAAACGGACTCAGGACGTCAAAAATATAAAGATAGGTGTAACACCCCCAACCCGGATCCGACCCAGATTCAAGTCCGAGGTGTCACATTGACTTTTCAAAGCATTTACTTTTACAAAGTGACTAAAATTTCATTTGATATTCGTTATAAACAGAATAATTTCTATTATATAAAACATATGGTTTTACAAAACTTATCAGAGCCTACTTGATCCAAATTTTAAATTACATGCCAACTACTTTCAATAAAACAAAATACATATAATTCAAAATGTTTTTCTGATCTGATCTTTGGGAAGGAGAGTCTGACCTGTCTTGCTCCTCTTTGCTCCTTTATCTCCTTAAAACCTACGTGTGAAACACTCACACGCTAAGTCGATGACTTAGTGAGACATAAAACATGTATACTAGAAACTCTAGATACTTAACAATGCATAACATTTCATATTTCATGTAATACACCCACATCATAAAACAGTTAATATAAGCAACTATAAACATGCACACATATCATCATTATCCTAAATACATCATTTTTAATCTTATTATAATTATCATTATTATTCTCATTAATCCCTCTTATCATTAAATCATGTACTTAACATTTATACCAATTATATAACTTATATCATACTCTTATATATATATATATTCACATAACTGATATATTGTTCTTATCTCTTCATATAAATCATATAATATATATACCTCCTTATCCCATAGTTATATCACATGTTCATGTATCTACACAATCATGTACTTATTTTCATATATTCCATATATCAATGCCATATAGCTTATATCCTAGTTTCACATAATCATTATAGTATATTTCTTAAATACTAATTTCCTATATTCCCTTAGCTTATTACCACCCAGTTCCTATGACTTTATCATATAATTTCTTGAATCTTTGTACTATACCTTATACCACATAGAAATATAATAAGGTTTAGATCATAATTTCATTTAAACATATTTGTATACTCATTTATGTCAATATCTCCTAACTTATATTCCATTATCATGTTATCACTTATATCTCTTATACCTAACCTTCTTAACCAGAAAGTAAACACAATATCATATAATATTACATATAAACAAATGCATACACACCCATATATCATCATTAACATTTTTACCATTATTCATATTATTATCGTTAATTCTTTTATCACATGATCTTGTATTTATCACTGATACACATTATATAACACATATAACATCATATAATTCTTGTAACACATTTCATAGCACAATGCATATAAATCACATATATTGTATTTATTGTTATCTCTTTATTAGCCCATGTACACATGTGAGAACCAAAGATATGTGAGTACATAGAGGTTGTGCACATATGCTGTCACCACAGCTCGTATAATTCCCACTATGGGGCATAGAATTTGTCCCGAAGGACCACTATGTCCCGAAGGAATACATATCACTTATGTCCCGAAGGACCACTCCTTAAGAACCATATACATATTCCAATGGACTAAATAAGTGTACCAAAGTATCGCATATATGTTCCAAAGGATTACATATATGTCCCGAAGGACCACGTAGAACCCTCGACTCTTGGCATGCCAGCTATACCTCTAGCTCTCATGACACATAACATGGGCATTATCATTCATGTTATCTCATATTCACACATTCATTTCACATATCTCTTATCACATGTCTTATCTCTTATGATCATGTAATCACATAACTTTGTATCACATAGCTCATATCATTTCTTGTAAAATCACTCATATATTGTAGTACATATAACTCATATACTCTCTCATATATTCACATAGGTCACATCATACGGATCATATATTTTCATATAGTTTATGTTTTATTCTCTTATATTCACATACATGTAATACATACCAGGCATGTTCACACAACTCATTTGACATAAATTATGTAGCACATACACAACATATCAACACATATATTCATGCATACCTACAAATCATATCATTCACATACTTATGTTTATGACTTCATGCACTAGACTTAGAGGAAATAGACTTCTCGCAAGTCCAATTTCCATATAATCCTATATTCAAAATAAGAAGCACTCACCTGGCCTCACTAGTCAATACCGATCTTTTATCTTTTCCTCGATGACTATTACATGTCAACTTGTCCGGATTATGCTCTCGATCGATATATACATGAATACACAATCCAATAAATTTCATAATTTGAATTACTTGAAAAGATTCTTACCGAAGCAACTAAATAAAGCACTAATTTCCACTTCTTAGCTTAAGTAGTATCGGTACTACCAACACAGTATCGATACTTCAGTGCTAGGGTACCGATACCCTACCCCGGTATCGATACCAAAATTAGATTCGATGTTTCCTGGTATCGATACCCTCCACACTGGTATAGATACTGTTCATACAAGTACCGATACCCCATGCGTAATTTCCTCATAATTTGCCTTGTAGTATCGGTACTCATTCAACCAGTACCAATACTACCAACCCAAAATCTATTCCTTAAACCCAAAAACCATCCATTACCCAGCTAAATTCCTTATTTTACTCTTCTTTCATGCCTTTAAACTTACTCATTCAACCAGTACCAATACTACCAACCCAAAGTCAACGGTCAACAATCAAAATCAACGGTCAACAGGTCGGGTCGGTCAACCGATCCAACCGGTTCGGTCCAACAATTAACCGGTTTAGTCGGTTTGAATGACCAAAATTTTCCCCACACGCGCACGACGGTGCATGGGGCGCGCGAGACACCATCCGACAATGATTTGTGTAAGAAAAATACCAAAAAATTATTTTAACCCACAGAGAATAACTTGCCGAGGTTGGTTTGCGAAAAAAGGTCGTCGAAAATTAGGTTTTATTAAAAACCCGAAACTTCCTCTTCTCCGATAAAGCTAACACCGGTGCCAAACGAAAAATGGAGACCACTGGACGAACAATGGGGTACCAGAGGTGTCGCACACCTCCTCACGATTAGCGACGAATCGAAGAAAAACTAAAAATAAATATGAAATCATGGAGAAACTGTTTGGGGGGAGAGAGAGCACGTACAGTAGGAAAGAAAGAAAGAAAGAAAGAAGAGAAAGAAAAAGTGGGAGTTTTCAAACTACCCAAAAGAAAATTGGGTAAATTATACCCTTGGGGCCTAAATTTTTAATAATTCCTGATTAAGCACAAAAAATTTAAAAACTTTCTAATTTAACCTAGGATTCGGGATGTGATAGTGAAAAAATAATTTAAAATTGTCACTTTAGCTTCCTGGTAATTTTTTAATGACGAGTAACAAAAAAGAAACAAAATATAACGGTAACTATGATTTTGAAGAAAAATAATAATTGAATGGCCAAAACAGAAATAAAATAATAAATTAGTGACTAAATAAATAATTTATTTTTTTAATTATAGATAAATTTATAGTTTTAGTCCCTAGTAAGTAGGGGCCTAGGCGAGTGCCCCTTTTGCCCATGCTCAAGGACGGGCCTGAATGTGTTATGGCGCTTGGATGAGGTGGAGTTTATCGACACTCCATTACATATAGCTGCAGAAGAAGGTTGTATGCGTTTTGCAATGGCGATGATCAACTTAAAGCCATCATTTGCTAAGCATGCAGAGAGAGCATTTGTAAACTCTTATTGTTTTGGTTTATACTTTCATTTATTACTAGGCTCTAATTTTGTATAAATTATTATTTATTTTTTATTAATATGGAATGATTACAAGGGGTAGAGTTTACTTTCAATTATTTGACAATAAATACTTAGATATTTTGCAATTGTTGGTTCTTAAACCCTAGATCTCTAAGATAACAACATCCATCAATCACTGAGATCATTTGGTTCGTGCAATTTTGAATAATTATTTAAATTCAAATGTTAAAATTTTAATTTATTTTAAATGATTCAAAATGGATTTAATATGTAAAACTAACTTTAAAATGATTACTCAAAAAATTAAAATGATTTAAAATTTGTTGATCGTTTCAATTCTTAAAATCTCTAAATATTCACAAAATTGGTTCTTTACCTTGAATCCACCGATTCATTCCGTTAAACTTAAAGGAAAGAGCTTGATTTATAGGTCCGATCAAAAGCTTCATATTTAAGTGCTTGTTCGAATAATTGGAGGGATTACAGCATAAAGATTTTTGAAATGAAGAAAATGACTGGTGGGGGGTTTCAAAGGTCCACACGCACACGCATGATGGATGATTTATATGCCAATTTTGATCTTTTTGCCTCAACCACACAATTCATTCATTAAACTTCAAGGAAAGAGCTTGATTTATTGGTCCAATTTCTCAAAAGCAGCTCAAACCAAAGCTCTCTTGCTATCTCTTGTCTCTTTGTCTATCAATCACAGAATCATTCTCTTATGTCTTCATGGCTTCTTCTTCTTCTTCTTCTAGTCAATTGAAGTATCAAGTTTTCTTGAGCTTCAGAGGTGAAACGCGCCTTAACTTCACCAGCCATCTCCTCAAAGCTCTGAAAGACACCGGCATGAACGTCTTCTTCGATGAAGATAAACTGGAGAAAGGGGAGCAGCTTTCACAGGCACTTTCCCAAGCAATAGCAGCCTCAAATCTCACAATAGTCGTCTTGTCTTTCGACTATGCTTCTTCCAAATCATGCTTAGCCGAACTCTGTGACATCATGGGTCGCAAGGGAACTCAACAACATACTGTTCTTCCCATCTTTTACCATGTTGATCCTTCTCATGTCCGAAACATTGTTGGAAGTTTTAAGGAATCCTTTGAAGAGCATGAATCGAATAGGCCACTTGATGAAGTGAATCGATGGAGAGATGCCTTTGTTGAAATCGGCAAATTAAAAGGGTGGCATATACAAGGCGGCAAACTCGATAGGTAACCATATACACTTATACATATTTTATCTTCTTATATTCGACATTTCTTTTGACAATTATTTTGTGAAAATGATTTCTCAGATCTGAGGCTGAAAACATCGAAGATGTCGTTGAGCATGTCATAAAAGAATTGAATAGCAAGTCTAAAAGTGTTTCTAAAGAATTAGTTGGAATAGATGATCAGAAAAAAAAGATCTTGCAGCTAATCGAGGAAGAAGATAATCGAATAATAGGACTTTGGGGAATGGGTGGTATTGGCAAGACTACCCTTGCTGAAGCTGTCTATAATGAAATCTCTCCAACGTTTCAATGTCGTTGCTTCCTTCAAGATGTTAGTGAGAAAATAGAAAAACAGGGGAAGGAATCTTTACGAAATGAACTTCTTTCCGAACTATTGAACTCGAAAACTTGTGTAGACACCCCCTCCATAAGATCCGTCTTAACCCAACAGAGGCTCAGTAATATGAAAGTAATCGTCGTCCTTGATGATGTTGGTGACTCGGAACAGATAGATCTTATGGGTGTAAAACATTTTGGTGATGGAAGTAAAATTATCATAACATCCAGAGATAGGCAAGTACTTACGAATGGAGGAGCTGACAAAATACATAAGGTGAATAAGTTAAATGAGGATGACTCCCTTCAACTCTTTTCTACATTTGCATTTAAGTCGTTGAATCCTGCTCCTGATTTTCAATATCTATCGAATAATTTTTTGCGGTACGCCCAAGGCAGTCCACTCGCTCTTAAAGTTTTGGGTTCTAAACTATATACAAAGTCTAGAAAAGAGTGGGAAAGTGAGGTGGACAAGCTCAAGGAATACGCAAAACCAAAGATTTCACAGATTTTGATGAGTAGTTTTGACGAGTTGGATGAACAAGAGAAGAATATATTTCTTGACATAGCATGCCTCTTGAAAGGGAAATCCAAGAAAGAAGTAGAAGAAATTCTAAGTTGCTTGTATGACGGTGCAATGTGCGGAATAAGCGATTTGCTTGATAAGTGTCTAATTGAAGTGGATTCCAATGGGGTGATATGTATGCATGATATGCTTGAAGAGATGGGAAAAGACATTGTTCGCCGAGAATCTAAAGATCCTGGAGAGCGCAGTAGGTTATGGAGTCTTAAAGACATGATCCAAGTGCTCAAATATAATAAAGTAAGCATTAGTTGTATCTATATTCCTTTTTTTTTTTTACTTATTATACATATAATGACCAATGTTTTAGGGTATAACATGGAATCTACTCAAGTTTTACTGTGTTAGTGAATACCTAATTCGTTGCTTATAAAATAGAGAACGTATTTGTATTGTCTAAAACTTTCAGTAATAAAAAGATATGTCTGATTAGTATAAGCGTTTCTTGGTATAATTATATTTTCTAATGAGTAATTTTAATGAAACGTTCATAATTTTGTCTGTAACGAAACTCGTTAAATTGTTTCTTGTTATTAGGTGAATAAATCAATTGAAGGAATAAAGCTTTTCGTGAGTCGACTTGAAGACCATCCGTTACTACATTCTGGTTTTGAGAAGATGCATAATCTTAGATATATCATCCTTCGTACATGTCTGTTCTCTGTTAATATTGTATATTTTTCTGATGAGCTAAGGTATCTTCATTGGGACTTTGTCCCTTGGAATGCTTATCATCAAATTTTAATCCAAAGAATCTTGTTGTGTTGAAAATAACTGGTAGCTGCATAGAACAACTTTGGAAGGAAGATCACCAGGTATTTCATATTTTTGTTTTTGATTTTGATACGGTCCAAAATAAGTAGATAATGGAATTATTTTATATTTTCAATGTACAGGATCTTGTTAATTTAAGGTCAATTGACCTTTCTGATTGCAACACTCTGAGGAAGATCCCTAATCTATCAGGAGCCATCAACCTTCAAAGCCTTTGCTGCAATGGGTGTTTAAGTTTGGTTGAACTACCTTCCCTCAACCAGTTGGTATCTCTTGAAAGCCTTGACCTTTCTTATTGCAAGAATTTAAGGAAGATTCCTAATCCATTTGGAGCCATCAACCTTAAATCACTTAAGTGCAAATACTGTACAAGTTTGGTTGAACTACCTTCCCTCAACCAGTTGGTATCTCTTGAAAGCCTTGACCTTTCTTATTGCAAGAATTTAAGGAAGATTCCTAATCCATTTGGAGCCATCAACCTTAAATCACTTAATTGTAATGGGTGTTTAAGTTTGGTTGAACTACCTTCCTCAACCAGTGGATCTCTGAAAGCCTTGACCTTCTATTGCATGAATTTAAGGAAGATTCCTAATCCATTTGGAGCCATCAACCTTAAATCACTTAAGTGCAAATACTTTACAAGTTTGGTTGAACTACCTTCCCTCAACCAGTTGGTATCTCTTGAAAGCCTTGACCTTTCTTATTGCAAGAATTTAAGGAAGATTCCTAATCCATTTGGAGCCATCAACCTTAAATCACTTAAGTGCAAATACTGTACAAGTTTGGTTGAACTACCTTCGCTCAACCAGTTGGTATCTCTTGAAAGCCTTGACCTTACTGGTTGCTGGAGTCTGAGGAAGATCCCTAATCTATCAGGAGTCATCAACCTTCAAAGTCTTTGCTGCAATGGGTGTGAAAGTTTGGTTGAACTACCTTCCCTCAACCAGTTGGTATCTCTTGAAAGCCTTGACCTTTCTTATTGCAAGAGTCTAGAGGAGATCCCTAATCTATCAGGAGCCATCAACCTTCAAAGCCTTTCCTGCAATGGGTGTGAAATTTTGTTTGTACTACCTTCCCTCAACCAGTTGGTATCTCTTGAAAGCCTTGACCTTTCTTATTGCAAGAGTCTTATGTGGATCCCTAATCTATCAGGAGCCATCAACCTTAAATCACTTGAGTGCAATTACTGTATAAGTTTGTTGGAACTACCTTGCCTCAACCATTTGGCATCTCTTAAAGAGCTTGGACTGGAGGGATGTCATAATCTTATGGAGTTTCCTGAGCTCCCAAAAAATTTCTCTGAGTTAGATTTAAGGCACAATGAAATAAAACAAGTGCAGGATTCCATTCAGCGTCTTGTTGGACTTAGAAAATGTATCGAGCAATATTTCCAAGTTGGAATCCCTTAACGTTTTGGAACTTGAGGACTGCAGAAGGCTTAAAACACTCTCAGAGCTTCCACCATATCTGCGGTGCTTGAATGCAAATGATTGCACCTCATTGGAGAAAGTATCCTTCACCGATCATAATTCCAATTCATTCTTTTCTTTACATGATGGTGATGACACTCCTCGTGATGAAAAGGTTTCCATGTCATTCCTTAATTGCTTAAACCTGAATCAAGATTCAATTAAAAGCATTGTGAGAAACGCTGTGCTTCAAATTCAATCCCTAGCTCAGAGATGGGCAAGGAGGCAAGGGAGGGGTTCTTTTGGAAATCAATTTTTTTGTTGTTTCCCAGGAAATGAAGTTCCAGCAAATGTGTTTGAGCATCGAAGCGTGGATCCTTGGTTAAATTTAGAGATAGCCCCAAATGGGTGTAGTGGGAGCAGATTCTTGGCATTTGCTTTATGCTTTTTGGCTGATCTCTGGTTTGGAGTCGGAGATGTTGGATTTATCTGTCAATACCAACTGACAGCTGCCAGTGGTGAAAAGTTCATGAGAGAGAGTCGCGTTTCTTGGAGAGGGGACAGGAGCTCCAGATACAAAGGTCATGGTCATGTGTTCATTGTGTTTAATAAGGATATGATTATAAGAGACAATGATTATGATATGATTAAGAGACAATGATTATGAGGAGGCATCATTGAGATCTACACAATGGTCAACTGTGTAGACATATGAAAGGATGAAATGGGGTGTCTTGGAGAGGGGACAGGAGCTCCAGATACAAAGGTCATGGTCATGTGTTCATTGTGTTTAATAAGGATATGATTATAAGAGACAATGATTATGAGGAGGCATCATTTGAGATCTACAACAATGGTCAACTTGGTAGACAATATGAAAGGATGAAATGGGGTGTTCATGTATTTTATGTGGATGCAGAGAGTAATAGCATTAGTGATGCGATGAGTTGTGATGCAAAAAGAAGAGTTAACAATGGGTGGTGAACAAGGGGATGGGGGACTTTTCACTTCTTTTAATCTTTGTTTGTGTATGCAGATGCAACTTCACAATATTTTTTTTTTGGATAATTTGATTTTATTACCCAAAGAAAAGAGCGAATACCTACTACAACTGAAACAAGATACCTGTCAACAACAATAAAACAGCAACCCCTTACTAGTAGCCTAAGCGAAGTTAAGGTGGGTTGATGTGGTGGGGTTTAGTGGACCTTGTAGCCTTTGATGAAGTTGGTTTTGGATAGTTAGCTGCTTTGAATGAAGTTAAGTTGAAGCGGGTGGTTTATAGGGATTTGTGGATCAAGTAGTTTTTGATGTTGCTTGTTTTGGGGGATAGATGATGATTTTCTTTTGAAGTCAAATTAGCGTGTAGATTCTCAGGTGGCGTTGACATGGTTGGCATCCCGTTTTGGAGTTATTGGCGTTGGTTAGTATCCGCAATCAGGTTCCATCCCAGGCTTGGTTGTTTCGTGATGTCCGTAACGGTTGCTGCGCTCTTGGTATTGTGCTGGTGCGGCAGATTACTGTCTTCCTTCCAGTTTGGTTGTAGGAACCTTGGGGAAGTGGTGGTTAGCTGAGTTGGTTACAAATAGTCTATGCACTCAGGTGAGTGGATTCTTGTGTCTTGGGGATCAGAAAACGTCGTTGGTTGTTGTGTTTTGTTGCTGCAATTAACTTATTGTTGCGTTTGTTTTTAAGTCGGACTGTGCTTTTTTGGTAAGATGGTTTGCAGAGGCTCACATTTTGAGTATTTTTTTAGTGCTGTAGTGTTCTTGTTAGGTTCTCTTTAGTGCAATAAGGGTTAGCAGTTTGGGTGTGTTTCATGGTGGGACATCGTTGTAATGGTTTTGTTAACATTTGTTTGGTTTTGTTCCTTGCACTAGTTTCGAGTACTCTTTTCCTCCATTTAGGTAAGGGAGGTTTTTAATGAGGCTCTTAACTTAGGTTTGTTAAATTATTAATAAATTTATTTTGCCGAGCAAAAAAAAAAAAGAAAAACAAGCCATTACATATCAACTCAACTAAGACAATCAAGAAAAGGAGCAAAACAACAAACTACAAAATAAGGAAACAAACTTCCCATGTAACAGCCACCCCGTAGGGTCTTCACACACGTCTACAGGTGAGTGCCCAGGAAGACCAAAGAATACAGCAGCAACCAGCAAGTTCGCCAATGTTCCAATCCAGGAAAAGCTAAAGATTAACCCTATCAGTTTTGTTTATGCTATAGCCATGCAACTTAGCACTAACTGTCCTTTTGATACCCTCGAAATCCTCATCAAACACCCGAGAGCAGTCTCTAAAGTGCCTGAAATTACGTTCTCCCCAGACAAAATACAAAAGACTAATCCAAGCTAGCTTCAAAATACAAACTAGCAAGGACTTCCCCTTGAAATTGGCTGCTGCCCAGGCCAAGGTATCAACTTCACAATATTGCCATCCAAATGCATTGGTAAATTTCCAAATTGAAAACTACTCTTACTATGTGATTCTGATTAGGGTCCTTAAGAATTTATTTGCTTCTGATGCCAGTAATGCAGAAGTTATCACTATAAAAGTAATTGATAATAGACTAATTAGAAATTAAGACTTACGTGAAATTTTATTTATTAAAGTTGTGATCTTAACGACAGATCCAAAAAAAAATTTAAAGATGAGAATACATATATATTAACAACATCGTAAAATATTTGTGCATGATGGACACAAATAAAATTCTAAGGTAGAATTGACCGATATAATAGATAATTAATCGAAGAAAATTTAAATTTCAGGATGGATAACAATACGTGGATCTGTCACTGTCCTTAAAATACATATGATGTATCTTTGATGATCAGTTTATGGATGAATTCAAACACTTTAATATTTGATCTTTTGTTCTTATAATATGAGACGATGTTTTATATGACAACCTTTGAACCCTAAATCAAATTAATTTTATATAATTTGAACTTTACATATGAATGTCATCCTTTGACTTCAAATATTACAAGTCATTTTTATTAGATCATTTATTAAATGTTTAAACTAACGCTGATTTTTTGGAATTAAAATGAATCGTGCACCTAACCTTTGAAATGTTGTTTGTTTTTCCTTTCTTTTTTATACTTCTTCATATAATTAAATGTAGAAATATTATAAAATAATGTAGAAATATTATAAAATTAAGGATTTAATTTTAAAAATAAGAAATTTTTAAGAAAATTATATTTTTATCCTCAAGTCGGGTCGGAGTTTTTTCACCCTCCAATCAAATCCAACTCAACCCAATATTGCATCTTAAATATCTAATCCGACTTGACCCAAACACCATTTTTTTTTAAAAAAAAGATCCAGTCAGATCGAGTTAAAACTCGGTTAAATTGACATCCATAACAATACTCATATATTGTATTTAAGATCAAACTAATATTTTAGTAAAAGAATGAAATTAATATTATATATAATTTTTTTAAAAGAATAGTAAATGATCAAAATGGAATAAAATTAAATTTTTCAATGGGACGTTTATTCAAAATTTAATTAGTAAAACCCTAACTTCCAAAGCACATACAACAACAACAACAACAATACTCTATTCCCATATGCAATGGGTAAGGGGAAATGGATGTCCCTTATTCCCATATGTAATGGGATAAGGGGGAGGTAAGATAGTAGGCTGCCCCCAACACTAGGTTGAGAGCAGTTTCCGTAGGAGACCTCCAAATTATGAAATGCCCTCCATGAAATTCGATCCCACGACCTCAAGATTAAGAACCTTGTGCTCTACCAACTGAGCTGGATGGTCATTTTTTGCAAAGCACATGATTACTAAATCAAAACTATTGTCCGATGAATAGAACGGTTCAAGATCCAAGTCAAACCTTGTAGTGCAATTATTCCTTCGTACCATTTATTTAATGCATGCGGCCTCGTCAATTAAAATAACAGTCAAGGATGGAAGTGCAACTATTCCTTCATATTATTTACTTTATAGGGTGTTTTTGAATTTTTTTTAATTCTTTTTTTAGAATTTTTTATGTATTCTTTATTAGTAATTTGTTTTCAAACCCTTAAAATTTTAAAAATTTGTTCTCTTAAAGTTTTAGAAGTTTTTCCCTAATATAAAATCATGCGTTTGTCCCTGTAATCCCCTCAGACCGATACGGATAACCCGATCCGATCTGGAGTGTCACATTAGGGCCACCGGAGCGATCCATTGTAAAAATAACGAAAAATTTAAATTTTTTTATCAGAACATGTAAACTCATAAAATCATTTATCAGTATTCAAAAATAAAATAGATTTTCAGGCTCGTATTTAAAACAAAATACAATTACATGCCCCCTAATCACATGTACCGTACTCTGCAAACAGCACCGGAAGAACTCCCTTACTGAATTCGATAGCTGCAGTGGTACAATTCTTTTAACCTGCAATGGTGAGTAATAGAGTGAGCTTTGGAAAGCTCAGTAATACAAAACTATCAGATGATGCTGAAGAACGTGCAGATACATGTAAACATATATTTCCTTATTGATTCAGATATCTACAGATTTCTTTGGCTAAGCTGAGGTCCCATTGATATTTCAGGTATTAACAGATAGTATTCAATTCTGATGGAAAATATTTGGTATGTTTAGGTTCAACATATCAGAATAGGTTTTCTAGTGTGTTCCCTTAAAACTAGTAAAAAGATACAGATAAAATATTTCAGTAAAATCGGTTTATGTAACATATTTTAAGAAAACATGAACACTACCCCCATCCGTCAAGTACAAAATGTGTAGGTTCCCCAGAACCATACACCCACCGTCAAGTCCAGTAAGGCCCTGAGCACACAGCCGAGGAGCCTTCAGGTATTCTTCCTCCAACAATACCCCCAAATAAAACATGTTCCGTCCGTAAACTGATATATCAAAAATCAAAACATAATTCATGTCAAGTATCATATCAAAATCCAGGTCAAGTATCAGATCATAATCCAAGTCAAGTATCAGATCAGAATCCATGTCAGATATCATATCAGAATCCATGTCAAG